ATGCGCTCATGACATATACAGCAGGCAGGAGATTGCACTGACTCACTGGCCAGGTATTGTGTAGAGGCATGACCAAACTAGGCTTAATAGAAGAGAAAGCCCTGCAAAGCAACAGTCATTCCTGCTTCCCATGTCTGCAAACATGCCCTGGGATTTGAAGAAGTCATGGACTGTCTTGGCTGTCTACTAAGAATTCTGCTGAAATCATCAACTCAGATGAATAAGCACATTTTAATATGCCAAACAGAAGACCTCTTATTTCTGTCTTTGTAGAAGACAGACACATAGAAAGGCCTAAACATGACTACTCATTTAGAGACTGTGTATTCATAATCATTCTGAAACAGCAGGCTTCAAGTGGTGATGTGCGCTCAGCAGTATGACATGCCAACTTTAAAGGTGAAGCCCTTCACAGCACTCCTGCATCTCAAACATAGTGAGAGGTGGTACCTGGCAGTAAATTGATAATATTCTCTGGTTTTCCCAGCAGAAAGGACAGGTCAAAGATAGGAAACACTATAAAGCAAATACACATCCTTAATTTTCTCTTCTGGTGTTTTTTTTGTTTGTTTGTTTGTTTTTGGGGGGGGGTTGTTTGGTGTTTTTTGTTGTTTTTGTTTGGTTTTGTTTTTTTTTTTTTTCCCTCATCAGTGAAAAACATACAGAAACATTCAAAGTCTAAGAGTTCATACCAGGTTCTTGTTATTCTCCCCTGCCCGTATGAGAAGATTAAATGCAGTCACCGAACTCTGCATACCATCCTCAGTCACGAAGAACCCTCTGGCACAGCTCCCAGACCAGTAAAACACGGCCATTTTAGTCCCCAAAGCATGGAGCCTGATCCATTTAAGCAAAACAAGTTCTACTGACAGCTGGTTTTCTTAGCATATTCATGTCCGTGTATTTATCAGAGAAAAACCCTCCAGGACAACAGTGTTTATTACAGGATTATTTCTGTGAATCCAGGGAACACAGCATTCACTGGGCAACAATGTTTGTACCCTTGTATTTTTTTTGTTAAAATGTGAACCAAGACGAAATCATTTTTATTTTCATTAACGCAGACAACTCATGAAGGAAAAAAACAAAACCCATGCATCAATTTTTTTTCTTAAAAAAAACCCCCAAAACTTCTGATCCTCATTCATGTATAGTATGCTGACACACATTTCAAGCTGTAATATAAAAATAAGCTGTTCAATCTTGCATGGACTCCTTGGATTTAGAGTCTAGTGACTTTTCATAAAGGGAAACCAAAGATATGATGGATATTTTTATTACAAACTGCTTTTCCATATGAATATGTAGTATACTTTCAATAGAAGGATAATTTTGAGCAAGCAAGATGCACTCTACTGACGGGTTTAGAGGCATTATGAATAACGCATGGAAATGCGATGGAGACATAAAGGGTGAATAACCCATCAGCTCCTCGTCATGCAGAAGCAGCCTCAGAATATGTCTGCGCCTGCCTAGCAGCAGGAGGAGGTCCGGTGGATGAGCAAGTGAGGGGCCACAGGTACTGACACCGCTCAGCTCTCTGACCCTCTCCCGGAGCACAGCAGCCGTCAGCAGGGGATGAAGAGCATCCTGCTGCCAGTCCCACGTCCCGAGGAGGGAGGAGGAGCAGGGCGAGACGTGGGGGACACACTCACAGATGCTGACAAGCACCATCCTCTCAAGTTGGGTGGTCAGTCTGTGCAGTTTCGACGCTCACCACTTCCTCCAGAAGTCTGCAGAAACTTGTTTTTATGATACTAAAGTTATGATGGTAGCTTTTAAACAAAACACATAAGAACCCCAAGTTTCATTTTAACTTAATCTAATTTTTGAAATCATTAAAAGCAACTGTTATTGGCATTTATCGCACTGCTTACTGATGCAGTGCAATAAAGAATAAGAAGAATTCATAAAATTATAAAATGAAAGCTGTTTTAAGTGATTGAGTTCAAATTAAGGAAACATTAATTAGAAATTGCTGTTAATATGTTTTGAACAATTAGTATTTAAAGGAATGGTTTTGAATTTGCAGGTTTTAATGAAATAATTAAACCAGGTATAGTTATGAATAATTATTGCTGAGACTTTATAAACTAAAACAAACGCTTCCCACCCCTAAGTGTGGGGTGGTTTTTTTTACTGCAACAACTGGACTTGACACTCTTGCAGCCGGACAGCACACCATGCAAGTCAATGGGACACCAATACTGACTCAAGCGAGCCACAATACTTCTCTACTGCATTTTTACCCCCTGCTTTAATATGTGAGCTTTTTCAAGACAATCGATGTACTAACATCTTAGTTCCAAACCATAAAAAGTGGACAGGTCCCTCATTTTGCAAATCTCTCTCCCAGAATCAATGACAAAGAGCAGGCGAAGTCTTACTAGTATTATGTTTACCATCCATCTAAAAATAAAGCGAATATGCTTTACAATAACCCTTCAAAGCAAAAACACTATATTCATATTGCTAGGGCTAAAATTTGCTGACAGGATCTGTGGGTATGTATCATTTTTAGAAAATGCAATGTGGGAATGCATGTTTGTATGGCAGAGCACAAAAGCAATGAAACCTCTTGGGAAAGCAGGAGATAACGCACGTTACACAAACAGAGCCTTTGCTCTTATTTCTCTACAAAGTTGAAGCATTTCTATCTGAAAATGTTTTCTGATGCATCAGGAAAATGCTATTCCTGTTTGTTTGTTCTTCCTAAGGTGAAAAGAGTTTAGTATTAGCAAAATAACTGTGGGAATTTGGTATTTTTTCCTGTTTTGTTGAGTACTTGGGAATGTTATGTTGGGAACTGTCAACTACTACTTATTCCACCTCAAAATCTGCTTCATAAGAAAATACACTGGTAATTTGCTTACATGGCTTTTGTAGATGCAATTACTGTTAGCAGCAGGAAAGAACTTTCATAAGCAGAACACAATTCAAATGTAATATGCCAGGGCCTCAAGTCATTAAACTAATCCTCAGGGCTTCTTGAGGCTTTTTGTACTTTTGGCAAAAAGTATAAAGAAGTACGCATTGTTGCTTCAGTTCCCAAACACTGGGAAGTTATATATATATATCTAGACTGTCAGCCCTTGCTAAACAGAGCAGAGATTGGTTTTGAGAAAGAACAAGAGACAACTGTATCTTTCTTATCAAAGTGCAATCAAACAAACATGGAAAACATACTCATGCATTTTTCATGGCACATAAGAAGTAGTCAGAAGAATAAAGGAAGATAGAAGAGCTCACAAACAACTCTGGTATTATGGGTTACCAGTATCTGGATACTGTGATGAATGCCTTACAAATGCACAAGGATGGACTGAGCTGGATGACTGAAGTATCTCAACTTTGATATACAGATAACGTGACAAGGTGTGGCATGGAACTCCAGGGTTTACTGGCATGATTTTAACATGACTACATAAGCTATAAATGATAAAGCCATAAATACGTCAGACATGTCAGATATATACTAACATCACTCAAATATCTTTCTGCTATATTGCTCTACATCACATATCTACAATCAGATATTCTTTGGGGCATTGACAGAAAGTACAATACTTTTAGGAAGTCAAAGTGTTCCTTTGTATTGCTATTCTGCTTGGTATTAAGAGGTTAACATCTTTCTAAAGATACTACTGAAAGTGGGAAAATAAGCAATGTATTCATTAGCACATGCGTCATTTAGACAGACATACCTAGGTGGCCTGAAAGACACTTAAGAATCAACATGGAGCTGCAGCTGAAAATATGATGGAAACTAGTGACAGCCCATTTGATTTTAACAGTAGCCGAGCAGAAGAATTCTCTGGAACACGGACGGATAATTACATGTTTGACTACAATTATTCCCTCAACTAATGTTGACAGAAAGTAGTGAACTGATAAAAAATATAAAAATGTAAAATCTGCTAAAGATATTGTGCATGTGTTTGCATGTGCATGCGCAACCTACATTTTCTTAAATAAAATATCTGGAAAGTCTTATACCTTTATCTAAATCAAATCTTGGTTTTTGTTTTTTAAATTGCATCCAACAGTTTATCCAGACCAATGCCCCATTGAGCAAAATGTCAAGATACCATGTTCCTTCACTCACACAAACTTTATCACTGAGTTATTATAAAACTGGTAGTCAGTATTTCCCATCCTTTCTTCTCTACCCAGAAGTGTCATCACCAGTTCAGAGGAAAGTCACTTCACTATTAACCAGAAAAGCGAAGCATCACTGAAACAAGGACAGACCAGTTTGACTGTTGTATATTTGAAAAGTCTAATGTAGTCACTTTGAAGCAGACATTACAGGACTGAGATACTGAAGGGAAGATGCATTAAGACATTCTTAATTCCAGAAATGGAAGAAGAGAAATTTAATGAAAGCAGACTTATTTCTAATCCTCACCCTTCCATTTTAGCAGCAGAAATTAGTTTCTCAGCAAATCTGTTTGCCAAGCCGTAAACAGATCAGTAAAGTTCAACAATTTTCAAATTAAATATTCAGATATTCTCCTGAAGAAAAGTAACTTACTAAAGCTGCAAATTCACAAAACACAGTTAATAAAGCCCTTTAGATTCTACAACAATACCTTATTCAAATGTTTTATGTTTATAGAGAAAACTTGCCTTCCCAAAAGAAAAAGAACTTAAAGATCCCCCTACAAAAAAGTTATCAGTATGCTGTACTGTAGGAGGCACTCAAAATATACTGCTACAGGAAAACACAGCATAGTTTTCATACATTATGATGCTACAGGAATATCACATGTAGTCAGCGATGAACTTTCTTCATCCATGTGGTCCAGCCACAGATACAGAAAAGTTCTGTCATTTTTCCACCACACACACAGTTGAAGTGATCACTATGACTTTAAGCAATTCAAAGCAATAGCATGTTATCACCTAGCCAGCAATTCTCACATATATCAGGAAAAATTTGAAAGTTTAGAGATGAAGTAGAATGAATACTCCAGAAAAAAAAAACCTGTCCCACTCACTGTTCAATACGTGGGGAGAGGTACAGCTTAGGAAAAACCTGAGTAGCTTCTGCATCCTCAAAACTAACGGAGAGAAGTGCAACATCTTCACCAGGATCTTCATTCACATCCTGTACATAAAAAATAATGAATATAAAATGGTAAATAACAGTACTTACAAGCTTACAGATAACAACTAGTAAGTCAAATACCAATTTCTTTAGGAGATGCTTAAGTAAGGAATCTAAAGTGTAACCACCGAAAAATACATTGCAAATGTAATCTTTCTTACTGTATTAGTACTTAAAAGATATTCTGACATGCTTAATTTCCTTTAACATATCAAATTACTGTGTTAGCAAGTGTACAGTAGTGTAGTGTTCCTCAATTAGCTGAACTACATATTTCAGTAAAGATGAAAATGCCAGAGAATTTTTTAAAATGCTGTAATATCAATGAGTTATGACCACAGATTTTATATTTTTTATTTTTCAAAGGAGTATATGAGTACAATAGAAATTTTGGACCAACTCCTACTTCTACTGTGGATGAAAAATATTTTTGCAATCAGAAATTTGTATCTAGAAGTCATTGTCCCCAAGTTTCCTGGAAATTAAACCCATGCATTACTTTCAGCAAAGATTGCATACTCTATAAAAACTACTGTAGGAAAAAAAAAATCCATGCTAAATACCATGACAGTCAGTGCATTCAGAGTTGAGGCTTTCTTTGTATCAGAACAATCAGTTACAGTTTTGGGATCAGCTAGAACAAATTGTTTCTGGTTAGGACCCGACTTCTCTCCAATTCATAAATCATGTACAGTATGAATAAGTGTATTTCTGCTACACACAACTTAATTTAAGCTCTTGACCTCTAGTTAGAAAGTAATGAGTTAGCAGTGCAGTCACCTCCATCGACAGCAAGTAATACAGTGCCACTTGCTGCTCACAAAGAAGCCCTTTAATGTGTTTGTGCATACGTACATAGCAACTTGACAAGATGCATTTGTTTTTATCCGTTTTGGAAAAATACAAGAGGAAACAGATAACCCAGCAGATATGTGCTTAAAGCAGGATCAACATGGTGCAGTGTGCCCTGGTATACTCTGTCCCACAAGCAGCTGTGAGGAAGGAACATGCAAACCACTTAAACATTGTTAGAAGATCCTGCCCTAACTGGGGAGGGAGAAAAAAAATTGACTGCTGAGTGGTTTCAGGAAGACAATCTCGTGCCATTTGAAGATTTGGCAGGACTGAAACTGTTAACGTCCAGAGAGACAAGTTGCATACCAGCTATTACGTGCAGAACACAACATGCCAAGAAACTTAGTGATAAGCTGCAGGGAAGAATGGGTCTTAAAAAAGCCTAATTGTCTTAGATGAAAAATGAGACAGAGGTGACAGTGTTTTCTTAAATTCTGCCTTGGTGTGCAGCTCACATTTGATAGCTGAAAGAGAAGTGTACTCGTAGAAATGCCTATAAAATGGTCACGAGCACACCACGGCTAGAAATCAGAACACACTTTTAAGCTGAAGTTGCAAGACAACACCCCATGTGAGTGGTGAGGATGAAAACTAGTTGCTGTCCTATTGGGGTATGATCAGTTTATGGATGGGTTTATATGACCTGGTTGACTGCAACAGCAATGTACAGGATTTTGTGACCCACAATGTTCCCTTCAGTGTTGTGTTTCCAAGTGGTGCTATCATCTATATTAGAACCACCAGCACAGATTACAAAACCTTATTCAACAAGACAAACAACAACAACAAAATACACAAGAGTGCAATCCCCCCCCCAAGCCTTCTCCCCTGTATTTTATATACTTCCATTGTTAAGGAAAAAATTTAAATAAGGAACAGCATTCAATCCTGAAGCTGAGTATGGCATTAACTGGCTTTTTCCCATTAATTTGCTATTTGTGAATCAAATGAAAAGAACTACTAAGACAGATTAAGCAGTAATGCTAATGATTAAAAAGATTTTATTTTAATGGGCATTCTTCAAGAGATGACAAGTACATATAATACATTCACTCGTGTATGTCTACAGCCCTTCTGAGACCATATTCTTTTGTTTGTAATTCTTTTCAAATGGTTTGTTTTTAAAGAATAAAACCTACAAGCATTTTACAAGCTACATGGACAAAACCAAATGTATTTCATCTTTCATTCACTATTAGTGCTTGAGCTGATGTGCACACACAAATTGACACCATGCATAAGACCAATTTTTAGAATACCATCCAGGTGCTTACCAATCAAAGAAAATCAAAACAAGGGGAAAAAAAACAACCCCAAAGCAGATTAGGTAAACACCACTACAGCACCCATTAACCCATACAGTAATATTACGTTATATTTTCTACACTCACTAGTGTTGGCTTTAATATGAAGACTTATGCCAAGGAAAAAAAAAGAACAACATGAATCATCATGGTATCTGCATGTTAAGCTGTAATAAGCTGATGTGTGTAGTAAGAGGAATAAACTGAGACGTGATTTTTTCTTCATTTACAAAAATAACACACAACAAACACTACTGCAATTCCTGTTGCCAGCAAAGCACTGCATTATGTTCATGCAGCTACTGTCCAATGCAAATTTAGGTAAAGAAATTGGCATTCTTCTATAGCTACCACTTTTCAAATCAATGCATATTTTCCACCCTAAGAAATAAAAATTGTAACTTAAAAAAGACCCAAAACTCAGCATTCCTGTAGGTTTTAAAAGACACAGTGCAGTAACACTATGGAGTTGTTCAACCTTATTGCTCAGGTGGCTGCAGATTTACATGGATTTATGACGAAGTTCCTTCTATCTGACACCATACTGTTTATTCCTTTCAGACTTTGTTACTTTTATTTATGTAAGCATCTGCTTAGTAGAACTGCATTCGACCCTAGTATGTCCGTTACAAATGTCGTTTATAAAACTAAACCAAAACCACATGTCTTACAGATAAACTGTGGAAAGCTTTTCAACTAATAGACCTTTTTGATGTTGTCTGTGCCAGTCACAGCTTAACTCCTTCGGTGATCTCTTTCCTGGTCATCTCTACAAACCTGTTAGCGACTAGGTGAGATGACCAATCCTTGTATTACCAGGCAATGACATCTTCCCAGAACAGGGACTGAGATCCTTCCATTACACAACAGCATCCAAAGCCAGAGGTTGTTTTAATTTTTCTTACCAAACTCTGCCTAGGCAGTGTCTTCCCCTTTCCCATTTCTGCATGCATACTTCTCTCAAGAAACAGGCCAGATTTAAACAGAGCAGCAAAGCAAAAATCACCTCTATTTTTATTTTTTGTTTGGTTTCAAAAGAGAGAGAGACTTTCAATTGCTTTGGCAATGTTATTCCCTTTCAGGAAAAAAGGGCTGTTGATCTAAAGTCACAACACATTTTAAAATATTTAAGTAGCCGTGTTCCTTCTCATAATTCATGTTTAACACACAACACAATGTTAGAGGAGTTTATTAAAAAACTTAATCTTATATTTAAGAAAAACTGATTTTGTAAAAATTAAGAATGGCAATTTTCTAGAAATGTTAGCATCCAAGGTTAGAATGGCCACATTAAAGTACCACTTTATACTCACAGACATTTTTCCACACAAGACTCTACAGAAGGTATTATTAAAATGAATTTCCACTGAACAGAAAACACATCCTGGGCCACAGGAATTTTGAGGTTTAGAAACTGAATGTTTATAAAAATGTTTGAAATAATTAGTTAAACATGTGATAATGCACACCTATTACTTTTTCCACAACAGTCTCATGCTTGATAGCAAAAACCAAACCTCTAGTGCACTGCAATGTAAAAGATCCAACATAAATTTTAATGGTGTCTTTCTGCCATCTTGCTATCACATATTTCTGTTTTTAAAAATAATCTTTTCCTCATTTCAGAAAATGCTTGTTCAAATCAAGCAGGAAAAAAAATAGATACACCATTTAACATTGAAAATAATAGTTGTCTTTCTCAAGAACTGCAAGGGGTTTCCTATGTTTACAGAATACTTTCCACACTGTGGACTGATCCTTGACTAAACCTCCAAAGTGCTGTGGAAATACAAAATATACACAGTAAAGAAACGTGGTGAGAAAGGAAACTCAACAAAAAAAATCTAAAGATTTTCAACCCCTAGGCTTTCTTCTATTGAAGAGACCTTCTAGCAACAATTTACATGAATAAATAAAACTTTCTACAAAGAAAAGCATAAAGAGAAAGCTCACAGTATTTTATTCTAATTTACCCTTTGTCTACTTACCAGTGCAAATAAAAGGCTCATGAAGTTTGTATGTATTTTTGAAACTCAAGAACAAGAGGCCATGTGAAAATACAAATGCAGCATAGAACAAATGAAAATAGAAGTCTGAAAGCATTTAGAAATTTTTTTTTCCCAAAAAAATACAGGAAAAGACTTCAGGTATCACAAGACTCCAAAGCAAAACTTAAAATCCTAATTTATCAGCACTGTCTGAAAAACCATTTGTTAGTTTTCAATCATATCAATCTAAATTTACATTCAAATGCATGCTTCGATGTTTACAGCTGCTCCCTTTGCGAGATACTTGATCTTTTAACAAAGTTAGCATGAGTTGTTTATGAAAATTATCATCAAAACCACTTTAAATACACCATCCAAACGGCATTGTTTTCTCGTATCCTACCTACTGTAATTGAAAACTGGGAATTTACTGGAACTGACAATTTATTATGAGTCAGATGGTTGATAGCCAGTCCAACCAAAACATCTGCTCTGCACAGTCACAACTGCTATAACCCATTTCCTCTTGTGCCTGGAGTCCAACCAAGTTGTACATTACAGTTCCTTTTCTTTAAAGATGCAGACTCTGGAAAATCAGTTATTACCTTTTCTTAGTTATCAACAAAGAATCACCTTGCAACCTCTGATTACAGTATTTTTTCAAGAGGAGGTGTTTCTCTACTTGGCATGCAAGTGTGATTCCCTGCACCAAATAGCAATGCATACAGCTGTGAGTGCAGGCATATCCCAGGCAGTGTCAGGATTTTCCACGGAAGACATGAGAGGTGGGGGCATGAGATTGGGGGAAAAGACTCTGCAGTGGTCTGATGTATAAATCAAGGACCTGGGATTG